TCAGTCTAACTAACTAACTAACTCGTTAGTAAGTCAACATAAAACATCTAACTTGGCCAACTTCACTGTAATACTACTTGTTTGTCTATAAAAGTTCCGAAACAAAACCTCGCAGAATCAACCAAACGAACGAACGAAACCCGCATGCACATCAAGACTATTGAATAAATAAATGAAAATACACACTAATCATCGATGTGATATGAATTTCATTTTATTCTTCATTAAGAAGTTTATTGAACCCAAACAGGAAAAGAATCGAATAAATTATAACTAAAAAATAATAACTCAAAATCATCGTTTCATTTGTCACTTTCTCAAGAACACAACAGATAACCATAGTCTTAATAGAAGTAATGAATAATAATAACAGTAATTTAATTCAATTGAAAGTGGATAGATGATATAATAAAAATATCAAAACACCAACTGACTTTGAAAAGAATGAGTAAATGAAGTTTTAAAAAGAGATAAATTATCAAAGAAACAATCAGATTAATGAATAATTCAGTAATAAAAATCATCACAGTACATATCTTCATCTTAAGTTCCCACTTTAACATTTCTATCACCCACTCTATCTACTCGAAAACATCCCAACTGTCATAGAGATTTGCAAAATTGAGTAAAATCAACTCGAAAATTGTCTAATCAACACGGAATACGATGCGATGCGATAAGTTACGAAAGAGAATCGGAAAATACCAAAAGGACAAAGAAAGACGCTCGTTCCACTTCAAACGAAACAAATGAAATTTCACGTTCTCTCACACATTTCACGTCCTCCAGAAAATTTCCGAACATTTCATCGCTGCACGCTGATTTTCAAAGAATTCAAATTGGATTATTCTCACTTAAAACTGAGTGGATAAGAACGCTCAAAAATTCACACAACACAACAAGAAACAACTGTGGAACTCGAAATAAATCGTAACAATTTTAAGGAATAAATTCAACAAATATTTTTCATTGATCAAATAACAATAACCTTCATAAAATGATAACATTCGATTGGATATTAATCAAGATTACTTCTTTTTCTTCTCTTATCATAAAGATTACACTCGTTATAATCATTCAACAATTCCAGTCTGTCACTGTTACAATCACAGTTATATAAGTAGTTGCTCTAATTGTAGTTGCAAATATCTTATACTGTAATTGCTAGAGTTATTTCAATTGTTTACTAGATTACTGCTGGAAAGCGTTTGGAAATGGTGGACGAGCGTAGTGTTGTCTCATGAACGGATTTGGAGTTCCTCCGGCACCTGCGGGACCGCCGGGTGGTGCTCCTCCGACCGGGAAGGAAGGCATTATCGGTGGAGCGCCGAGTGGAGGTGCAGCTGCACCTTGCGGTGGAGCCGACATCATTCCTGCTGGATGATAGGCACCACCGGATGGTTGGTAGGACAGATTTGGAGTGGGCGTTGAACTGGTCGAGAATGACTGTTGCTGTTGGGACTGCTGAGCCGAGGGCATTTGAGGTGGTGGGGGCATCATTCCGCCCGATTGTGGTGGCTGCGAGTTTAGCGGTGGCACACCCGCAAATGCTGGTGCAGGGGTGCTAGCACCGGACTGGTGCTGAGAGGATGGCATCTGAACACCGCCGCCCGAAACCG